TTCTCCCAGCCCTCCAGTCCTTGGATTCCACGTGTAACAGTTTACACTGCCAGGGGTGGCCCATTCGGGACCGCTTCTGTCTCAGGAGCTATTCCTATTCCCCAATACATTTTCCTACTCTTAAACAACCATAACTGTAGTCTATGATGAAACAAAAAAATACTCGATGGCTTTGTAATAAATAATGGACAGGTTTTTTTGTGTGTTTTTTGAGACAGGGTCTTGCCACATGGCTCAGGCTGGCCTGGAACTCATAGATACTCCTGCCTCAGCCTCCCAAGTGCTAGGATTACAGGCATGTGCTACCACACCAGGCCAGTAGACAGTTTCTGAAGCATAAAAAATGTAAATCTGTGCTTAATATACAGTACATGCCAGCTGTTACTATTGTGTCCACCGCAAATGGACAACTGAACATTTCTCATTGTCACAGAAAGATTTCTTTTACAATAGCACAAGGTACAATAATAATATTGCCCACATTGCTTTTTTTTTGTACTGGGAATCAAACTCAAGACCTTGCGCTTGCCAGTCAGGTGCCTGTGTCGCTGAGCTATATCCCTGGCCCTACTCACATTTCCCTTTTCTTTTTTGGTACCAGGAATCAAACTTAGGACCTTGCACTTGCCAGGCAGGCGCTGTGCCACTGATCACATTTCTTAAAAAGTAAAAATCTCCCTCTAAATTCAAAAACATTTTGAAACCGCTGACTGTCTTTCCTGGAAGTCACTGCCTTGTTTCCTAACAAGAGAACTGTGACTCTTTCAGGTCTAATTAAGGCCTGAAAACACCATTCCCTGGTTTGAGACTGGACTCTATCCAAAACGGGTGGGGCGTGGTGCGCCTGTAATCCCAGCACTCGGGAGGCTGAGGCAGGAGGACTGCCGCGAGTTCAAAGCCAGTTTGGACTATGTAGTGAGAGCCTGCCTCAAAACAAACAAACAAAAACACACACACAACCATCACCCTAAGGAATCGAGGAAAAGTCACAGGTCTGGGTTCTTGGATTTGGGGGCGGGGGCAGTGCGGGAATCGCATCCAGGGCCTTCGGGAAGCGGGCAGGGGAACGCTGTACCACTGGGTTCCTTGCGCGCCGTCGGCCGCGTCCCGGCACTCACCCAGCCGCACGTACTCCGCCAGCGGCTCCCGGAAGCGCAGCGCGTAGGGCAGCACGGCCAGGCGCCGGCGCGTGGCCCGGTCCCGAATCTCGCTGACCACCTCCCGGACGGTGTAGATGTTCTTCCCGATGTCCTGCGGAGAGACCGGCCCAGCTCACAGTCGCCCGCACCACGCACCACGCCGATCGAGCGCGTGTGTCCCTCGGGGGCCGGCGGCCCAGACCACGCTCGCCCAGGCCGGATCCCTTGTACCTGCAGAGCCGCGTCCCGCAGGAAAGCCCCGGCGTCCGCCACAACGTGCTCCACCGGCGCCATGCTGGCTGGGAGGACGCAATGCGCGCATGCGCATGGAGCTTGCGCTCGCTCTACGTCTCCATCTAGGCCTCTGGGAACCTGGAATAGCGGCCACTATCTGCTGGCGCCCCCTGGCGGCTGCGTCGCAGTTCGAGACTGAGGGCTACCCATGCGCGTGCGCAGTAGCGTAGCCCAGACGGAAACGCGGGCGCCAGAAGGCAAATCTTTATGTTGGACAAAACGAGGAAATTCGCTTGAGCACCCTGTATTTAGCGCCTTACTTACTTTACTTTTATTATATTATTATCATTATTTTTTTTTAGGTAGGATCTTGCTGTGTTCAGGCTGGCTTCAAACTTACTATGGAGCCAGGCGTGGTGGTGCACGCCTGTAACCCCAGCACTTGGGAGGCTGAGGCAGGAGGGTCATCA